TGCTGGGATTTTATCAAGGTACTTCAAAGAGCATGGATGGCCTAGCTCGTCGGTTTTCGAGAAGCCTCCTGAAAGCGACGAGGATCGAGCGAAGCTGATCGATACGCTTCAGGTAGAGTATACTTATGCTTGTAGTTTGGCTTTCTTTATGAGCATCTTTAATTCTGTTTGAGCTTCGCAAAAGGAAAAAATAAAAAGAAGCTACTTAACGAAAAAAAAACAAACGATCTTCAGAAAAGCAAGTCAAGAGATTAATGTGAAGAGCTATTATAAATGGGGAAATGTGGACCTTCTATGTAGTATTTGAAGATATTTGAGCCTCAGCTTCGAGCACTCCAGTCGTCATGTTGCATTCGAACAATTCCTAAGCATAATGTATGTTGGGGTTGCACTGTGTGCAGTGTATACTGACTATGGTACACATTAGTCGTTGTTCACACATCTCGAGTGGATTGGGGGAAGATTATGGGATATGCGAATTCAGCTCATCAGAGTATAATTTGAAACCAAGAGCTTGAATCCTCTGAGACAGGACTTCAGAAATGCTGTCAGTTACGATGTTGGAATGTTCATGAAGTCTATTTGTAAAGACGCATGAATTGTGTAGCCGTTAGGCAGGACTCGTGAATTTGACTATACACGGTTGACAAAGTGTTTCGTGTATTGGTCTCCTTATTCCTCGTTATACTCCTAATCTTTTCACAATTCTCAGTGATCTCGATCAGTAGGGGTAACTTTGCTGATGAGGCGAAGTTGATGCGGTTGTTGTTGCAGAAGTCGACAGAGCCTGCACTAACATTGTCTGATGTCAGTTTCTAGTTTCATGGAGATTGGTCCAATGATCACAAATGTCCTTCCCACAAAACCGCTCTAACTAGGGTTTTTGTGAGTGTGAGGCCTCTGCCATTTTCAGTCTGTCATGTATATTGTCCTTTGTTCACACACTCTATAGATTGTAGCAAGTTACAACAATCGTTTGATCGAGGAAGATAGTAAATGTTGAAATTTCAGGCCTGTTAGGTCCTTCGGAAACGGCTTGCTTTGTTCATGACGCTTATGGCAAGAGCATGTTTGGCAACAGCAGTTTGGACAACTCTCCTATAGAGAGATCAAGCTCTGACCAACTTTTCCCTTAATCTGAAGGCCCATTCACTCTTGGGGAAAATTTCACACATATAGCCATTTGGGTGCCATTTGGATTTTGGAGACATATTTACTTGTTACAATTTTCTTTAGATTCTTGGAATGTTTATTTGTCAATTGATCCATTTTCACTTCTACAGCTTTCTTGTACTCTACTAGTCTACTGTATTAAGCTCAAACTGACGTTGTGGTCATAGACGAGAATGCCACATTAGTTGGTTTGAAATCGACACCCCCAGTCGTTGGAAATGCTTTGTTAAATGATAATGATTATAGTTAATGTTGCTTCACATGTATGGGAAAACTGCAGAGCTAAAGAAAGAAATATCATCCAATGACTGTATCTTCTTTGTCAGGATGCTTTTCCTAGGAAGGGAAACTGTATCTAGGAGGCTTAGGAAATTAGGATGTTGATATTTGGTGAATTAAGCAAAGCAACCCTAGTACTAAAACTGAACCTCTTCTGTTGCGGGAGATACTCTATCTACATGTACTTTTCTGATATTTTCAGGACTGGAAGACAGAAAGGTACAAAGACATAATCAAATCTGGAACTGTAAGATTGCATTATATTTGACATGTCCCAGTTTTTCATAAAAAAAAAAAAAGATACTCTTGTTTGAGTCTACGATGATTAATGAGCATGTATCTAAACGTCATTTTCTCAGGTGAAACCTAGACCTGGAGTTTTGAGACTGATGGATGAGGCCAAGGCTGCTGTAAGAAAAAATCTACACTTAAATGCGATTAAGTAACCATGGTACATTGAATCCACATGTTTGTATGGTTTATATTTTTTCATACCCGTTGAATCTCTAGTTTGTTTAGTCCTTTAGCAGAGATTCATTCTGCTTTTCCTCACCTTATATTTAGCCTAATTCTTACTTTTTGCTAAAATTGCTTCTTGCTATTATTCCCCTCTTAACTTATCTGCAGGGGAAGAAACTGGCTATTTGTTCTGCAGCAACTAAGAGTTCAGTCATTCTCTGTCTTGAAAACCTTATAGGAATGGTATGCTAATCTTGCAGAATCACAGAAAACTTGCTTTCCTTTCGAGTGGGCTTTAAAGAATATCTTTACACAGCTTGTATCATGATTTTTGTAGGAGCGCTTTCAAGGTTTAGATTGCTTCCTTGCAGGTAAGATGAAAATAATAGTTTGGACTCTTGATTCTATATATTAATTTGAATCATAATATAGATTGATTTTGGGAATAAGAGATAGGGGGAAGCTTTGCAAACTGTCAGTGGAGGTCAATATGGTGTTTGATTTTTTGTACTTTCTGTTTTTCCAATCGTGCTTTTCATGACTATCAATCATTCCGAGACTTTTGTTACTATCCTTGTCGATTGGTTTCTTGTTCATTGGTTGATCTCATTCATTTAAGTCACATTAGAGGAAATCAACTCTAAATCTTGTTTCTCAGTTGTTTTAACAGTGACTTCAAATTCTATTTTGTAGGTGATGATGTGAAGGAAAAGAAGCCAGATCCTTCAATCTATCTCAACGCTGCCAAGGTGGCTGACACATGTGATTTTATGGCTTTCAACATCTATGTAAATTATTATTAGTTCAATTCCTTTGTTTACTGGTTTATTCTTTTCTCGGGATGGCAGAAGCTCGGTGTCTCAGGGACCGAATGCTTAGTGGTAGAGGACAGTGTAATCGGGCTGCAGGTATATAAATTCCCGTAACAATGTCTCGCCAGGATGAGGAAACTTGGTCTTATTCGAAAACAATTATGAAACAGTGAAATTTGGCCTAAGTAAAAAATGTTAGACAAAATGTTATCAGCATTCTGAAGGCGGCATGCTGTATTTGATACAAAATCGTCACAAGTTTTCTCTGTTTCATTCATGCGGTCTCTGAACCGAATAAACTTTGGTTAAACTCTTTAGGCAGCAACAAGTGCCGGGATGTCTTGCGTAATTTCTTACACATCTTCGACAGCAAACCAGGTGAAGTTCTCTCTTGACTCATGGTCTTGGAAAACGAGGAAAGACTTCCATTGTGATAACTACTGTTATATTTAACTTTCCTAGCCTTTTCTTTTGCTTTCGTTGCCTCTTTTATTGCTTGCAAGCTGCAACAGTTCTAGCTTGATTTCATCATGAAAAAAGTCTGAAAGCTGTTCTGTGACCTCAGGATTTTAAAGAGGCAATTGCCATATACCCTGATTTGGGCAGTGTTAGGTACAGTTGCCCCCTGACTCACTGCTTGTGAAACTTCCGTACATGTTGGTTCAACATTGATTGCAGGGTAGTTATAATGTGTGCAGATTGAAGGACTTGGAGCTATTGCTTCAAAGTGTCGTTGCTGCAAAATAGGAAGAGAAGTACCTTGCTGCTGCTATAAAGAGCTCGAGAGCTTCCATTGTAGACGATGTAGATATGTTTTCTGCATATGAAGTACTTCACGAGGGTGATTTTTCTATTTCTCTTAATCGCAAATCTGAAATTGGATAGGAGTTGTGGATAGGAATCTTGATTCTTTGGAAAGGGTATGGCTGGAGGTTAAGTGTATCGATTCTTCTGCAAATTGGGCTGGAAGGGAACAGCTCAGACTTCTAACCCCACAGCTTCTTCTCTTTATAAAAATTAATAGGTCCGTAATATCAATCTCAATCACTAGATTGAGAGGTTTCGGCATGAATTCGTAGTGTCATTTTATGGAGAAGATTGCGTAATCTCCCTTCAATTTAAGAGCGGTTGCGCTTTGGACAGAAGATTTTAGTAGATGATATTATACTCTAAACTTCGGGCATGCTCAGCAGAAAAAGTGGGATCGAAATGAAAATGCGATTCTGTACCGTTCAATCAAGGAGACTCATATGAAGCCCTTCAATTCATTAGCAGAATCTAATGGAAGGCTTATGTTGAGGTGTTATTTATGTGTCCATTGCAGAAAAATCCTGGCAGGGAAATGATCTAAAAACAAGCCCAGAACATCCGGTTCGGGCAGAAACTATGCAACTCTTCCCTCTTTCCGTGATTTTCAACGAATTTACTTCATTATTTCCGCGACAACCAACTCCGGTTTGCTGGAAATTAGGCAGCTTCTGTCCGTGTTTTGACCAAACACTGCTGCATAAATTCAGTCTACCATGAAGCAAGTGGTCCGAATCGTTGAATCTACTTTAGGGCCGCATGAGATCCACATTTCCACGGGGCGATGACTGAGATCGCTCAGCTGACCGCCTAGGCAAGAATTTCACTAACGAGGGCCAGTGCCATTGCCGGTGCCGTTGCAACTAGCACGAGAAGGAGAGATCTCCACGACAGACAACACGGTGCCATGCCAGGTAATTCGCAACCCCACGGTGCGCTCGAGAGAAACTAAACGAAATACTTATCTTCGATGGTAACATGAACACTAATTTTAAGTTTGCTCAAGAGTTGTCAAGAACCGTGTGACTTCAAAATTTGGATTCTAAATAACAAAATCCAGTGGTCAAATTTAGAGGTCTTAAAATGTTTCCGAGGTGAATTGGCATTTTACCTTAAAATTGTAAATTTGTACATCACTTGAAGGCAGCACACCCTCGATTGACCTTCGAGGTGATGACGGGGCCAACTCTTTGATTTTTTTTAACGTTCGGTCCATGCTATGCTATGACGTTCGTGTCCTTCGAAGGCGTTTTGGTCAATTCAGGGTCGCTCTGAAAATCTGAATTTGGTTCAGCGAGCGCAGCCACCAAAAGGACACGATCCACGGGCCACGAAAATCCCAAGACGATAAGAAAACTCCAACGCCCCAAAAAAGAAAAAAAAGAAAAACTTGATCACGACTAAACAAAGCCTCACGCTTCACATCAAATAGGAAAATCCAAAAAGAAAAAAAAAATACAGATCCAAAAATTTTAAAAAAAGGAAAGAAAATTTCATTGTAATGTCATACTGCGAAAGATCATCTGTCCACAGACTTTCTGTACATCTGTATGTAATTTCAACGATTGTACACACTTAATTAAAACACACGCACATAAACTCTCTCTCTCTCTCTCTCAAAGCATCCTCCGACTACAAAACTGAAGTACAATATGATGTTATCATACCATATCATCTCATTACTAAATCCTAATCCCCAAAAAACACAACACTTGACATTGGAATTGCATGCAATTGAAAAAAGAGGTCCGAGATCTCTCTCTCGCAACAAAAGCCAACGTGGGATTTCGGGAAGAACGATAAGAATTCGCCGCCGATAACTTGGCAATGCCTTTTGATTTTTTATATAGAGGCGGGGCTTCATATTAAGTTGATAAACCTCGGACCAATGTGTCCAACAACTGACCAGTGTGTATGACTAGGGGTTGAACAAGTGGTTGCGACACCGGCATTTCCAGCCCAAGGGCTTGTAATTGGAGTATCTACCTGGGGATGCAGGGGACGGGTCGACGAACTCGGCCGGCCGGCTCGCCTTCTCTCTCCTCTTCTCGCGACCCGCCTTCGCTGCCGCGGGCACGCTCGGCACTTGGACCGCCATGCAGGGGTGGCACCCGTTGCACTTGTTGTGGCAGCTCGGCGGGGTCGACCCGAGCCGGGTCTTCCCCTCGAACGAAAGCCCCTGCGGAAAAGACATCGTAAGTACCCAACCGACGTTCAGCTTGCCCACTCAAGACAGACTAGAGGCGAGGGAGAGAGAGAGAGAGAGAGGGTACCTGGCGAGAGAATGAGGGAGGTGGGGAGAGGAGGAGGAGGAGGAGGAAGAGGAGGAGGAGAGGGGTGGTGGTGGTGGTGCAGATGAGGGCTAAGCGAGGCGGGACTGATGAGCTTGAGTTCATGGTTTCACTTCATGTCTCCCCATGAATTTTGAGATCATGGGCCTGAACAACATGAGGAAATGAGCTCGGACATGAACAAATGATGAATCCTGAAATACTAAGGAGTCAATGGGGTTCAGAATGTGAAGAAAAACCAGAGGCCCCAGACCCAGAGAGAGAGAGAATGAGTGAGGGTGAGGTGGTGGTGGTGGTGAGTGTGGTCTGACTGTAGTAGAGAGAGAGAGAGAGAGAGAGTGAAAGGAACAATTCAAGGAAGGGAAAACAAATTGGGAGAATCCAAATCAGAGGGGGGGGAGGACAGTTTGGACTGTTTTTTTCATTTGTTTTCTGTAGAGAGGGGGGCACCCTATGAGTATCAGCTGTAGAGAGCTGTGAAGGAAAGCGATAGAGTAGTTCACCCCCTCCCCAAGTGCACAAAAAAAAAAAAAAAGAAACGCATTATTTTCACATAAAAATGAAATGCCCTTTTCAAGACCATAAATGTACTCCCCTGTATGAAAACATGTAAAATGTACGGAAGGCAAAATTATATAGATCAAACTGATTGAAATTTCAATGTTTCAAAAAAAAAATGTTAAGGATTCGAATTCGATTTTTAGTTTAGAGTAACTGGGTCCTTAGAAAACTATCGGTAGCGTTTCTCCCTATTTTGACGTGATAGTGTGTAAATTTTATCGAACATGTTACCTCGCTGTAAAAGTTTAAAAAAAAGAAGCGGCGAAAATAGAGTAAGAAAAATACAGATTTTGATTTTTTTTTTTTTTGGGGTTGGTGGGAGAATAGAGAAGGGGGAAGGGGTGGTAAGAATCTTGCAATTGAATGACGGTAATTGATGGGGGGGGGGGGGGGCGTCGCTTTTTCAGTCGCCAGCATTCAGAGTTTTGTGGGGGGAGTTTGACTGCGATTTGATTGAATGAAGGGGACAGTTCTGGGAGTGTGGGATAATAGGAATTGTTGTTATACGGTCCGGTGCTTGCTGTCGTACCTTCCTTTGTTTTGTTTAATGGACCCGTGAAAACATCATCCGAGATCAAACATATCATATGAACAGTCTAGTGAAACATCATTCTTTTCACCCTTTTTAGGACCCCCATTTATTTCTTTTGCCAGGGTGGATAAGTACTTCTCATTGTCTGGGCGATGGGAAATGGGCCCCGCACGTAGGTGTCGCGGCCCGTAAGACCCGGCCCGTGACCTCTCGTTCTAAAAATTTAAGTTATTTAAAATCGCATCGTTTGGATCTTTCGCAAAGTACAATATTCTTGATTTTGGATTTATATTAGCCTTCTGCGAATTAACTAATTTCCCGCTTCCGGATTTTAGTTCAAAGAGCGGTGGAAGCAATTTTAAAATGGCTTGAAATGTGATAAGATATTGCGCACTATTATATGCAAGCAAAATGATTCACTAGTCTACAAAGCAAATAGCCCATAAGGCTGAATCCTCGTAAGCACCTTTGGAAGGTGAAATTGGCAACTCTGATTAACTTACTCTAGGGAAGTGTAAAAACTCCAAGATCTTCTCTTTCCCCAGAAGACATCAAAAAGAGTCGATCCGCTTCCCCAGCGATGAGCCATACATCAACAGTTTCGCATGTTTGACCGATAGGACTCCTCATCCACAATCACTGGAGGAATGCTCCACGTCCCAAGCGACGGTCCTCCAGTCCGCCCACCTGAAATGTTACATCGTAGCCGTGTAGACACTACTAAATTGAAGTTTCACCCACTGCATTAACAGTCTTCAACATTTCACGCACCTTCTGCAGTAGCTTCTTCACATCTTTTCTGATACTCGGCAGACAACTGAGGCTCCAAAGCTTTCAGCAAGCGATCATACTTCTCTTCGGCCTCTGTAATTGATTTCGCCTGCACAACGAGAAAACCAAACAATAGTTTGAGAGACGCACATATAGTTTCGTTGATGATGATTCTTACTATTATAATTTTCCCTCTAGCTTATAATTCATAATTGTTGCTTTACATCCCTCAGTCAGATGTTAAACATTACATTTGCCAATTACATGCCAATTTACTGTGCTTAGCATACGGCCGAAAATTTACTTGCTGATTCTTGCATACATATTCATAATCACTTTCCAGATATTAGGTTCCACTATTTTATGATGTTACTTTAAATTTGCAGATCAGCTTGGCATAATCTTAGTTTGGGTGGAAATTTTCACGTGGCACCGCCAGTGTCAGTCAAAGCAACTTCTCAAAATTGGGACATTGAGAGGCCAGGCCATGCTCTTTCGTATATCGATGCTTTTATTCTAGATTTGAAAATGTATAGCGGGTGAGCACAATCAATAACCAAAACAAAACTTACCGCCAGATAGGTTGGATCTCAAGTTCACAATTGATAGATAGGGAAGAAGGTCAGTATACACATAGTTATTCATTTACCAGTGTCGTGGCATATCGGAATACCTACCAGCATGGCTGGGGCTGTAGAAGCTCCATATATTTTGACGAACATGCGAAGGATATTGAAACTATTTTCTAATACATCATCCTGCAGAAAAGAAAAATGTAGAAACAAAGAAATTACGAACAGAAACTACAACAATAATGAGTAGTAAAGTGCTAATTGTTAGGGGATTACCTCATAGTCAAAACTAGAGTGTCCCCCAAATGGATACCGAGCAATAGAAGGGAGAAGAGAGGATCAGTCAGGAAATGTTATGAACAGCATTATACCAGTAAAAGGTGCCAATGAGAAGCAGCGCATGCACATGCCAATAGAACGACTTGGCTGATCACATCTACATAACGTCCTCTTAGAACGAGTGCCCAGTGTGTTTCTCTACATGTTTATACAACATCCAGATATTCATAATATGTACCCCAGAGATGTACCCATACTCGCAATGCTTATGATTCAGACACAAAAATAAGTGTGTGTGGAGTGCATACATATACACTTAGTATGGATATACATACATATACTTCTGGATAGACCAGATAATGCAGATGCAAAATCACTTGTTGATTGGAATACTATCTATTGAATGTACTGAGATGATTTTGCAATCATAACCAAATGACAGAAGCCAGACAAAAGAATACTTACAGGTCATCAGAGATCTCTACCAGATACTCCGATATGGAAAGAAACTCCATGTGCAGGTCATTTACCTTCAGAACAAGTTGAAAGAAACGAAGTATTCACTGAGCGGCTACCGTGAAATGAAAAAGGAAGAGATGAATCATATCAAGGTAGATTACAATAAGATTAGATAATCAAGAATGCAGACGAATATATTATGCCAGCTGTTCATGAAAGCTAGATAAACAAATTCATTGTAAGGCATCTTCTTCTTTTTTTCCTTTTATATTTTTTGCTTGTTGTACGCAAGTAGCACCTAACTTCACTGCATCTCATTTACCATTATCAACTTTTTCGGCCAAATTCTAGATAAGCACTTATCACACCTTGATTGAGCACAAATCTCCTTGATTACAGCAAAAGCAAGTGCTTATCTATGTAATAGTAGAATTCCAAACAAAATGTACAACATGATAGTGATGACACAATTCAAACAAGATTTGCAATCCTAGTGATGAGAAACTGCCACAAAAATTGACACACGAACAAGCCACTCCAAAACAAACTGACCACCCTACGTTCCTGTTATCGTGATCCCTTCCGCTATACAGACATTCATGTACAACCATTTTGAGCTTTGAAACAAGTTCCTAAAGCATCATACTTGCATAGGAAAATCCACCATGGACTATAATTTGGCTGCATATTTTAGCAGGCCAAACAAGACCAAAGATGACAATGGAGCCATGAAAAATAGGATCTACAGCATAATGATCTAGAAGATGACATCCTGTTAAATTGTGCACAGAAGCATCAAAAGATCAGCATAAAGGCCTCACATTGCAGGGAAAACAACTATTATTATTGGTGGTTCTCTATTCACCTTAAATTGATAAGAACCAAATCGTTCATATTACACTTTATTAGAGTGGTAACAAAAGGGTGACACTTCCCATCACTTAGAGTGATTGAGGTTGCCAAGAGGAGGTATCTTTGGAAACCATAAATTTGTCAAAACAACCATTCATGAAAGATGCTTCTGTTCAGAGGGAAGAAAACTCAGAAATTACCTTTTCACCTCTTAACTCATATAATAAAAGATTTAGTACCCTGTAATCAAAAGATTTCAGATGTATTGCCCTCGTGACATCTTCAACTGAAACCTGAACAAATAACTTTGATTATTACCCGTGGAGGTTTTGCTCATCCATAACAACAATGTTTCTGTTCCTTAAGAAAAAAATTAGTGACATCTGTCTTCACAAAAAGAAATACATGACAGCTACAAAATTACTTATGCAACAGTAAAATATCTTGTTAAAGCATATCTTAACTAATAGGAAAAAAATATTCAAAAGCTTTTCATTTATTCAAAAAAGCACCATTTTGTCTGTCCTCCATAATTTGAAATTTCTTCTCAGTCAGATAATATTATTCATGCAAACTGAAAGTCCAGCACAGAAAACAGGTATCGGACTACCAAGGAAATCTCCAAGAGCAAAACCAGAGCAAATGTAAGACCAAGAAGACAGGTGCTTAAAAGCACTTGAATGAAGCATAGGACATATTAAAGCATCCATACCGCCTCCTCGTGCATCAAGGCAGAGCATAGCTTTCTTTCCAGTGCCCAGAACTCCTCTCCTGATTTAAATTCTTCATTTATCCTAGAAAAAAGAGAGTTGAACAGCTCAATTCCCATTTATGTTTAGCAGATTTTACCTTCAATCTATTAGAAAAGAACAGTTCAGACCTGTCATTTAGAAGTCCTCGAAATTCAAGAAGACTCTTAAGTGGTCCGAATGGATCTCCTTTGAATGTATTGACAAGTTCACTACTGAGATCACGATCCCTCTCCTGTATAGTGGACAAGATCTTCACAAGACAATTTCAATCATTTCACATTCTTCACGTTTCTGTAAAGGTCAAGAAGATTATGACCTCAGATTGAGCTTTTAATACTGGGAGTCCACCGTCAGATAGCTGCACTATTCTCTCATTTAAATTATCCAGCTGCACAACGAATACAATAAGGCTCGTCATTGGAAAATGCACCTTTTAATAGGCAACCCCACATGGGGAAATTACATTCCTTCAGAAACAAAATCCATGGAGAATTTTCCTACTACTTTTTAAATGCTTAAGAATCTCAAAATAGGAAGAACCTCAACACCCACCGAATAGATGATAGAAGGAAATAGTTTTCCTTAGCCAGAGCTTTCGGAGCATACTAAGCTCTCCTCATAAATTACTCTTATTTACCAGCAAATTCATGAGACTGTTTAGACAACCTGTTGCATGGAAGCTTCCAACAAGAACAACAAAAGGGAAAGAAACTAAAACTTTCAAATTGACACATAAAAATTTTCACTGCACAACGCGTTGCTGTATTCCCAAAACTTTGTTGTAGAATGACTTTCCTCATGCCTTTAACGGTAGAAAAACAAACTTTCAGATGAAGGAACAATGAATACAACCTTGAAGTACTCTATACTTTTGAAAGAAATGAAAGCCGATGTGATAACATCATGTCTCGTGTGTCAGCCAGAAAAAACATTAAAAGCAAGCTCAAGCTTGAGAACAAAAGAGCATATAAATGAAGATAGATACAGAATTCAAAAATCTGAAAATCACCTGATAAATGTAACTTTCTGTGAAAGAAAGCATGGGTAGATATTTGAATAGTGATTCTGGTCTGCTCACATCCATTTCATGAAACATAAAATAGGACCTGCACTGCCAATTGGAAACATTATAATTAAATGACTGGATGAGATCAAATAGAGACATAATTACGGAACTTGTTGACGGGACAGTACATAATGAGGCCACTAACAAATTTGGGAGCGGTTCGACCCAAAACTATACTGGCAAAGCTGACGCCATAAATTTGTTAATATCATGATAACAGCGGACAACTAGAGAAAGGTCTATGGATCACCAGCTGAACTTTAACAGTTTGGAGTGTCAACCGACAGTCATTTCTTTTCCTTTTTCTTTTTTTTTTTTTTGTGGGGGGGGGAGGGGGGGGGGGAGTTGGAGACAGTCAGGTTGATTATGAATGGAATGAACCCTATAAGTAAATAAAATCTGCAATAAGTCCAAAAACTAGGGGTATGGAAGAGAGATGGAAGCTCTAGGAATACCCAAGAGCCGAGAGCCTCACTTAAGTTTAAAATGCTGACATTGGGGAAATGAGATAGAGAGAACGTAGGAGAGATTGTGTTTAATTAATGATCAACATGCATCTTTACCAGTTCATACATTCCACTCTACTTTGTGCATTGAATGACCAACAACCAGCATATGCCCCATATGCAGACAGGATTTGATAAACAAACAGTCCGATTAATGCCAGAAACACTTACAAAGTCCTCAAGGGTTGAATTTGCTCTCTCCATTGCATTGAGCCCAATTACAGCCACATTATGGAACTCAGTTTGCAGGGCACAATCGGTCTTCTTGTTTACTTTAGATTGAACTACAATAGACCAAGAAACCAGCTCAAATAAATCTAGGGAATTATCAATGCTACATGGGGATACAAGAGAAAACTCCAGTTCAGACTCACAAACAGCTTAAAATGAAATGATACATAGTTTCTTGTTGATTGGTATTCATCATTACATACCAAAGTTAGAGGTGATGGGTAACCGAGTGGATCCAGCCACCAGAACTGGTGAGTTCCAGGGTAGACCTGGAGTGGGGTTTCTCACAAAAAAGGTCGAAGCGAACAGGAATGAAAATTGAAACAGAGCACAAAGTCTATGTAGCAATAACTGACAAGCAAGAAGAATCAACAACCTTCTGCAAGAGACAATTTTAAGACATGAGGGAAAACTAATGTAAGATTAAATGGCACTTCCAATACGTAAGGAAGGCAAAAAACTTAAGATTAAAACATGCCTGCATGCGTATGGGCAGAGAGAGAGAGAGAGAGAGGCATTGAAGCACCAATGAGAGCAGTGAGAGGAGAGAGATGAGATAGATGATAAAGAGAAGTGTGTTGACTGCAAACATGAATGATTAGGCCCAATTAATGGCAAGAAAGCTGAATCAGCCGAGCTGACTTAGCACTCAGTAGGTGATAACCTCGCAGACATAATCATAACATCAGAAAACAATGAGAGCCCTACCATATCTAGAATCCTTGTTTTCCAGCTTCATTTGTTCATTTGGATCAGGCAAATATGAGGGCTCCTTGATCAATGTCCTTAATATCTGCAAAAGACGAAAGAAGCACGGGTCAGATTCGATGAACCAAATTGTAAGGTGACCGAACTTATTAAAGTTTACTTATCCCTCACCTTTGGCAAGTATTCATTAATTAAATTGCACTTCCGGTCCATATCGAGCTCCCCACATGGTTGTATCTGCATATTTGATCTCATTATAAAAAAAGAAAGAAGGCCAAAACGCGAAAGAAAAATCATCAGCCGTGACTTTCTTTTGATAAAGAACCAGTCCTTTCCAGTTGATGTGAAAACCAGACACCAGATGCAGCTTGCTGGATTCCGACATGTGTTCATGTCAGTTTCACTACCTAGACTCTTTCTCTCCCTTCTCTCTTAATCCTCAGCCGTGAGCCTGCAGACCGGCCACGCGGCAACCCCGATGACCACCTTCTCGATGACCTACACTTGCACCACCAGCGTGCCACCAACGACGGCTCTCTCTCTCTCTCTCTCTCTCTCTCTCTCTCTCTCTCTCTCTCTCTCACTGGCGGAGCTCGACACCATGCGCCGAGCTCCATCTGCTCGTCATAAACGACACGCATATCGAAATCCGCCTTCCTACACAGCCGGCGAAGTACAAACGGACAACCGGAGTAAAAAGAAGTCGGAACTGAATCTTTGGCGCGAAAAAGCAACGCCGGCGGGCGGCGACCAATCGAACGGGTAAAAAACCGAGAAGGCGCGAGCATGGAGGCGCCATTTCATCGACGGAGCGAAGGGCGCGAGGACGCGAAGCAATCGAGGCCGAGAGATTACCAAGAGGAGGAGGAGATCGGCGAGGAATCGATCGGAGTCGGGATCGGGAGGCGAGACGCCGTGACGGTGCATCAGCTCCAGGGCGGCCTGCGCTCGCTCCAGCCTCCGCAGCTCCTCCATCCTCGTTCCCGGCTTCGCGACCTTCGCCGATCGGAACTCCGTTTCCGGTGACGTGTGGAGCTCGCGAGACACGGACCGCAGTGTCGCCGCCGCCGCCGCCGCCGCCAACGTACCGCCGGATTCGTCTTTAGCGGGAGCTCTGCACTTTTGCCGCTTTTTATAGGACTCGAAATCGATAAAAATTTTAAGTTTGACATGTAACCAATTATTTCAAACTTGAAAACAACACAAATAATCTCTCAATTTGGTTCAACATGCGACATGATTGTTAATTTTTTTATTTATTTAAAATAGTCTTTAAACTTTAGTCAAATATATAATATAATTCATCAACTTTTAATTTATTTCATTTAGTACTTTCTTAACTTAGTTCCTGTTTGAACAAAAAAAAATTAATTCATGAATTATATAAAAATGTTCAATATTATCATTTCATTAATTCAAGTTCATCTTCACATAATTCAGGAACTAAATTGAATATATTTCAAAAGTTAAATTAAAAGGACAACATTGCGCATTGAGTTACAATTCATGTACCACATTGAACAAATTAAAAGTTCATAGACTTATTACATGTTAGGCCAAAGTTCGCGGACTACTCGTGTCAATTTTCCCTTTTTTAAAAAAAATAAATAAATAGTAGGCTAACTTTCATATTTTAGAAATTAAATAATGGATAAACCAAAACAGCAAGTGGTTTCCTTCTTTCGACCGCCATGTGATTCGAACTAGGGTTTGGAGTTTGCAGAGCTGACCGTCAAATCTGCATTGCACTGGGTTTGATCCCAGGATCTCTCTCTCAGTCTCGATCTTCGGATGCGCGAAGTTCACTGCGTTTCCCTCCAGAAAACGGTCGTCTCCTTCGCCGAGCTCGGACTCTCTGGCTCGCTCTCTCCCGACTCTTCCGTCCAAGGTGGAGCACGCGCTCGGCTGCGGTAGTTTCCGTACCGTCCGATTCGCGTCGCTCGCTTCCCGCGGCGGGAGAGCTTCGGGTTTGGCGCCGGATGTTCAGGCGTTTCGCTTGATAGGATCCGGAACCGACTTGACGAGGAAGCGAAGCGCGGGTGGCGAGGTGTGGGGTGGGGGGGCCATCCTTGAGCAATGTGCTTTTGAGGTGGTCTGCCTGGGAGCTTTGTTCTGCGCCTTTTGTTGTCTGTTCTTGGTTAGTCTGGTCCGTTGGATCTCTGCACCGATCGCCGAGGCGGCGGCGGCCTTCTTTCAAACTGCTGAGAGTTGCTGATGATCGCTGCGGGCGGAGGAGAGTTGTGCCGATCGTGCCGGCTGTGTCCTTTCCGGCTCGGTTAGCAGCCATAACAAGGTGAATTAGCGTTTGGGCGATGGCGTCGCGGTTTCAAGCCTCTGTGTTGGTGGCTTCGCCTTCGTACCCGAATTCCATAGCTTGGTCGGATGAGAACTTGATTGCAGTGGCTTGCGGTCACCTTGTCACTATATTGGTAAACACTTGGTAGTTCACTCCGCTGGTTTGTCAACTTGTCTCTACTTGTTTATAACTGGGGGTGTGCTCAGTTGTCTTTTTGCTGGGGCAGATTTACTGAAGTTTTTATTTTTCATTTGTAATGAAGTCTTGCGTTTGTCTGGTCTTGGCCTTAAATAGTGAGAGGAGCATGGGAATGAAAAAATTCAACATGGTGCAACAGCAGAAAAAACGCGCAGACACGCTTTTTGCAGGAGTTTTGTATTTTCTCATAGCGTAGTTTCTTTTTCCTGGAAGCGAATAGCCTTCTACTTTTCAGTGTCGAGAAAAGATAGAGTTTCTGTTAGCACGGTTCTTACAAAAATTCATGAAAATAATTCTTTAATGTGGCTCTGCTTTTCGTTTAAATTTGTCCACAGAATCCTGCATTGCCTTTTGGACCTCGAGGCCTAATCAAAGTACCCTCTAACGAACCCTTCCCAATCGGAGTGATCCAAAAAGAAGGTATTTTTATTTGGTCTCGTGTTAGAAAGTTTGCTAGTGCCCTATATATGAATATTTTCCCTGCAATTCCGTGTAATTCAAGAAGTTTCCCAAAATGTAGGAACAATAAGATCTAGTCTTTTCCCAATCACACCCAAGTTGCGTAATCTTTCTGCTATATCTTCCCTTGGTACAATATTACCTTTGGTGAACATTATTATGTGCCGTAGAACTAAAATAATACCAAGCAATTTTATTGCCATGAATATATCATGATTTGTCTGTAAATATTACTTTTAGCAAACTCTCTTTGGGTCTCGCGAAAATGTGAATAACCTTGATTGCCACATAATCAAGAGTAATGGACTTTTTCGTACGATTGTGTTTTGTGGCGCGAATTGGATATGATTTGATGTTTTGCTACCTATATCTTATATCCAGTTTGTTGGTACCCAATTCACTTCAGCATTTTATGAGTAGATTAAGAAAGCAGTATATCTTCACAGAATTGCTCTCCAGCTGCTTGTTGCCTACCTGTTTATCTCGCGATCGTGATCCTTGTGTGCGATCAGTCTCGTGGTCTCCTCTTGGAATGGCACCTAATGCAGGGTATATGTCTAATCTGCTCCATTGCTTTTGCATTTTCTTTTGCTCTCATGACATAGTCATCTGGATACTCCTCCCAGCCTGTGTTGGTATGGACTTGCCAAATCTAAGTGCATTTTGCTGGTGATAGGTGCTTGCTTGCAATTTGCACCACCGAAGGCCGTGTGAAGATCTATCGTGCCCCTTTTTGTGATTACTCTGCAGAGTGGATAGCGGTATGAATCAGGCAAACAACTACATTATTGAAGTTGTGATTTATGTGACTTTAAATTATCTGGAACCTCCATATCCTTAGTTTCCTTATCAATGCTTGAAAGAGCTACCTTACTATATACGGCTTGCAGCTAAATACTGGAGTGGCTTCACTGTAGGGTTGTATAAATGTAATTTATTCAGGATTTGAAATAGATTATAGATTAGCTTCAGCTAGGAAGCCTAAGAATGAAAAGAGCTGGACTTAGTTACTTAATTTTTCTTCAGTTTTGAGGCAGTGCTTCTGCATGAGAGATGGTTTCTTTTAAGCTTAAAAATATATGATTCTGTGTAAAGTTTGTCGGGAAGCCTTTACGTGCTAAATATCCTAGGGTGGATAAGGATGTCTAAAATATGTATTAGACATGGCATCACTATTGTCGTAAGATAACTACCAATTGAGGTTGTGTTGTCAATGACATATACCATGTTACGATGTCATTCGTTATTTACATCTTATCCAAATTCTTGTCAACGGTTGGATACTCAATTTTCTGCATAGCCTCCACTATGGCATTTCATAAGTCTGCATGATGCTGTCTCTGGTACAAGATTTGTGATCTTTCAATTATGTGCAAATCTATGCTCAAAGAACATGCACTCCAGTCATAGTATGTGGATTAAGGCATATCAATGCCCTTTGTGGCGTTCAGCTAATTCAAAGAATCACGGTTATCCTAAAGTTTAAAGACCTAGGATGTGAATTTTCCCATTCATCACCAATGCCAAGTTGTTCAATTGTAGTAGGTCATTTGCTTCTCGAATCTGCAGATTATGGATGTATCAGACCTGCTTCATGATTACCTTGCCAATGCCAACTATCAAGTGTCAGAGATTCCTTCAACAGAATTTTCTGATGTGAGTTATTCTGACTATATTTGCCATATTCTGGTCTCAACTTTTTATCTGATAATTAAGAGTTATTCAGGCGGAGCAATTCTTTTCCTGGATAATGATCTTTAAATTTCATGTTGCAAGAAGTTTGTAACAGAGCAGAGACGTGCCAATAATCCAGCAAACTTGGGTCATAAGATGGAGTTGAAGCGAAAGAGACTGCATAAATCTGGAATGATGTAAATTGCAATTCTCTTCCCTAAATCTCCATTCACTTGATTATTCTTTTCTGCACCAGTGCATTATCCCTGATAAACATGTGTTTGTGTTTTGACTTTTACATCGACTTGCAAACACGGAGTTTCTGAGTAAAATTTTATGTTTAGGATTCCCTGCAGCAATAAGAACTCAAAAACATCAAGGGAGAAATCATCATCTCCTACAAACAGTAATGACATTGTATTGGCAAGTGACATGAATCCTGAACAAGAACAGGGATCTCCTCGGGTATGGCTTTGTTGTTAAAGTTCCTTGCCTTATTCTTTCAGGAAGAAGTGTGAGATATTCCTGGCTTAGCATGCTTACATTGTTGCTTATTGAACCCATCTCTGGTAGTATCCTATGTTTTCTTACTGTTGTACTGTCCCCAATGACAATAAGAGCAACAGCAAATGCATTTCCTTTCACATGGAATTAGGTATATGATGCTTTCTTCTTCATTTTGTCATGTTTAGAATGTAATCTGTCTGGAGATCCATACATTGATGTTTATCGAGTGCTTTGCAACTTATTTCTCTGATTTTAAAAGCCGTCTAGGCTTTTGCAATTAGCACGCTTGGCTCTGTTAGCTCACTTATAACCCATTTGCTTCTCTTCTCTTGGTTAATTAGCCCAAATAAAAGGAATTGCAAGATACTTCTTTACAGTTCCATTTTTTTAATAGGCCTAGTTGATGCTCTGTTCTCATTTGAATCCATTACATGGGAACAGAAATTGGTTTGCCCCGGTTAGGTTCATCCGAGTACTTATACCAGTATTTGCGCTTCCCCTCTTTGCAGCCACAGGAGTTTCCACCTGTGAATGTGAATGAAAATGAGTCATTTCAGAAGGTTTCTAAATCTCATGGGAGATCCACTAAGAAGAAAATAGAAAGTTTCACACTCCCACTGATTAGTGCAGATCAATATGCTTCTCGAAGTGCAATGCTTTCTTCACTTGTCATTGCCTGGTCACCGTTGTTGCAGTTTCCATCTGAAAGTTGTTCACAAGTTCAAAACAGTGCAACTTGCTTTTCGCTGCTTGCAATAGGAGGGAAATCAGGCAAAATTTCTTGCTGGAAAGTTCATGCACAGGAATGCTACTCCATTGAACATGGCAATGTCTCTCCAGATGCAATGGTTGTTGGGATCTTTCAGGCACATAGTTCGTGGGTCACTACAATCGGTTGGGCACTACTTACGACCAATTCTTCACACCCCCAGGTTCTACTTTCTACTGGGAGCTCCAATGGCAGGTGACTGTTGGAAACAATCACATTGTATCCATCTTAATACTTCTT